ATATAATTCGGTATTAAAATCCTATTTAAGACATATTCGATCAATGCACAAACTAAATACATCAATGACCAAAGTTATTTTTTAAATTATTAATTTGCCCTTGTTAGTTAAAAACTAAAAATACTATAGAAACATTTTTGTTTACTGCGATAGTCGCAGAATTTCTAAGCCCAATCAATATAATATTTTAAAAAATATAATAAATTTTTGTACATCAGGTAGCGAATTTTTAAATTAAACGTAGAGTAAAACCTAATTTGCACACTAAAGTTGGATTCTTAAAAATTTTTAAGTATTTAACATTTTAAATTTTTTTAAACCTAAAATATATTTATTCTGAGAAATATATCAGCTTTTTGTTATCATTTGCTGGAAAATTAACAATTTAAGAGAACCAAACGATATGATTGTCATTCTTGTATATTACTGATAGAGTGAATAAAATCTAAGTTCAATAAAAAAATATATTTAAGTCAAGACTAGGATTACCTCGATTTCAAAATAACGTCTCGTAATTGGCCAATACATATTTAATAGTGATTGATATGTTATAACTTTATCTTATATTCATAGAATTGAAATTATTACTAATTGCCTTTAATCGCTTTATAAAATAATATTTCTTTTATTTTTATATAAACGTAAGATATTTACTATATTAGAATAAAGCTTTGGTTACTTCAATTTGTACTAAAGGTATTACTTAAATGCATCCAAAAACTAAAGATAAAACATTTTATACTTTTCGTCTAGATCCCAATAAAAATTATACATCTTGCAAATAAATTGCCCTTGGATGAAGTTTCAGTAAGTATTTATTACTATCAAGTTTTAAAACTTAAAGAGATGAATGCAGAACGCATGTCGCAAATAATATTAGGTAGGTAGGTTTGTATATTTTCAATACATTTAAGAGTATCGTTTTACAAGATAGCCTTTAATATTTTCTGAATATAATATCATTATAAGTCTAGTAACGTAATTATATCTATTTAACTACCTTCTGAGATTTTGTATGCCGTTTTTTATGGTTATAGTATTAAATAAAAAAAAATTGAATACAAAGAGAGTATTATGGAGCAAGTAGCATTGGTCGGGTCGAACGATTCATAATTGTCGTTCTGGCTGGGCCAAAGGGTAATTAAATTACAAAACGGGACCAATTATATGACGAGCTAGGCTCGTTTCAACCGGCGTGATTCTGAGACAACCAATATAAAAAAAAAACAACAGCGATGGAAAAGTTTTTTGTTGCAATCATAGGATTGTATTATATGGTACTAAAAGCGATATTTAAATATAATATATAGATGTTTACACTTTCTGAATAAACTTAAGACCATATTAGTATATGAAATTACATATGAAATACAACAAATGAAATTAAACCCAAAAAAAATTCACTCTTTTTTCAACAGGTTTAAAATAAATGTATTTCAATTAAAATAATAATGAAAATAAATCAAAGACATTACTTCTTAAATTCTTTTGCTTCTGAAAAACTTGAGCTTTATAATTTATTATTTATAGAGATATGTAAACATATGGTAGTATATAACTACCATCGCTAGTTAGATTATTGCGGTCGAACGAAAAATTAAACTATCTCACCTCTATACAAAGCTTTGAACAAAAATATCTTCAAAATCACATTATGAAATGGCGATGCCATCTATTACTCTTTCTTATAAATTAATTGAAGAATAATTTATAAAATTATGCACTATATTTGATTTACAAAGACTGATTTGAAATAGAATTCATCATGAGAACTAAATTATAGATTTACTCTTGACCTATTTTAACGTATCACTCACTCGACAACTAATGTAAACTTTTGTGTTTTGAGACCAACTTTAGAATTAATATTACGTGATTAATTATGTAATAAATATTTTCAAATACATTATTATTAAAAATAAATACTTTTTGTTATGATCCCCATGTGTATAACAATTTTCAATAGGTGTCTTTATGAATAATTTTACTTCATTATAACATTATTGTTTTCCATTAAATTTTGTTTTAAGTTATAAAATAGCATTGTGTTTCATTTTACTTCAAAACCATTTACATATTTAAATAATCTGATGAATTTAAAAATAGAGTCGGTGTAAGGTACAAATTTCTTCCTCACTAAGTATATTTATATGAATTGTCCACTATCTATATATGTCAGGGAAAATAACATGACTGTGTACCAATTCGATAAACATTCAAAAATAAACAAAAAACAATCAGTACTTATAAAACTAAAGAGATATTTTTTTGTTTGGTAGAACTAATCTCAGACTTTTCTAGTTCGACTCTTAGGAAGATCATAGTCCATGATGTTGCGATCAAAAGGTGAAGTGTAAATGAAAATTTTATAAAAACGGGATATTTGTAGATATACATTTTTGAAAGCACTCCTGCTCAAAAAAAATCTACTTAACCGTAGTTCACTACAGGTACACAATAAGTACACTTGCTACTTTTATCCGATATAAAGTTTCTCTCTTACCCATTACAGCATAATGTACCTAAAAAGATCCTAATTGTACTTAAACCTTACCACGCTTTTCTTTTATGTAACTAAACTCAGTTTCAAAATTACATATTTTTATTAGAGATTCTGATTCTTCCATTTTTACGTACGAGATCGCGTGAAAAATTTTACTATAGAAAATTACACATCAATAAAGATTATAATATTGCTTTAAACATGCCAAAATAATTACTATGATATTAATTGCCACCCGGTTTTATTACATTAGCAGAGTCTTACTACTTAGCTAAAATCATTTTTTATGTAAGTTTTATTTCTCAGAAGAATTCCAAAAAGTCTTTCATTTAGTCTTTCAATTTTTGTTCTTCAAGTAAATTATACGTATTTGTATTATTTTGTAACATCGAGTAAGAAATTAGAAATTATTCTATTTAAACGAAAATCTTTTTTAATTATATACTTGAATTTATACTACTACAGTCTACAATAATAGGAAGATGAATATAAGATGATAAAACCTTGTTTATAATAACATTTTATAACCTCTAACACTAAGCTATTTATACAAATAGCTATATAGACGGTATACTCGCAAACAATAATAACAAATTCTATTTTAAATAAACATATAAATAAGTTTTCTACATTACATTACATAAGCATTTCGATACAATTAATTGAAAAAAAATCATGAAATCTCACATCCAGAAATTTATGTCGAATACTTTAAGGTCGTAAAAAATTATGTAAATAATATACATATTTAGGTACATTTATATCTTTTCAACTTTATATTCTAAACAAATTTAAAAACACCCTTTTTAGTACTATAAAATTATAACGTATTTTATTTTCCTGGTTTCTTAATTCTCAAACCAAAAATTGTTTCTTAATTCTCAAACCAAAAATTCCATTTAAATTGTTATCATACTATTTAAATGATGTTTTAAGAGAGGAAAACGAAAGTAATTAACATTCTACTAATTACAATTATATTAAATTTAAAATCTACTGAACGACCAAAAAAGTTCCTTTTACTATATATAGGTATTTAAAGCCTAATAAAATGTATAATACAGTCTAAACGAATATTTCTGGTGTTTAATTGTAAATAAATGCATGCTAGCATAGAAAAAAACTATTTATACCTACATTTACATATAATGTTAATTTTTCCAGCACGTATTTAGTTAAAAAAATTATTATTTACTTTTTATTAAATTAAGTCATTCAGAAATCATTTCGGTAAGCGTTATAACTTAGAATTTATTTCTTTATTTTATTTTAATATTTCTCTAGACCAATGTTTATTGTAGTGTTCCTTTTAATATTTTCAGCGTATATGGGTTTTAAATGGACTTCAACTACTTTTACTAAAGGTTTCTATTATATGGCCAACTTAAGCATCCCTTTTTTTAGATCTGAAGAGTGGAAAACTAATGTTATTAAAAATTTTGTTTTCATCATCAACCTACACACTAAGAGTTTCAAGGTTTTATTTCAATGTTGGTGCAAAATCACTTTTTTATTCCTACAATCATATAATTGCTTCAAGTTCTTTAAAATTATAGTAAGATATAAATTCACTTAAAAAAGAGATTTTACTCTAGATTAAAAGGATTAAGTCATTTGTCAAATAACAACGACAAACAAGGAGCACTGTAATTTGTTAGTATACCCATTAATGAGTAAATATAGTGAATACACGACCAATATGATATCATTCAATTTTACTGCTTTAGAAGCGACCTGAGATAACCCGCTGAACTATCGCATTGCGTCTCCTAGATCTGATCCCTATACGCAAGTGGAATTTACACCATTTTAAATGGATAATTTATAACCACGAGTTACCGTTAATTGTTTAATTTGCTTATAATATTTTTTGAACTCTGAAATGAGTCGGACAGATAAGTATTTTCCGTGAGTCATTATTTCTCAGAAATTAAGATCGATTAAATTACAGAGCAATTCAAACTATCGTTGCTGGTAAGCAATATGTGGGAAAATCAATTGCTGTCGACGAAGATCGTAGCGACAGCTGAAGGACTCTTTAATGTATGTCTTTAAAGTCAGAAAACATCAAAAAATACGGACTGTCATGTCATTGGACCTGTTGTGATTGGTTCGCTTTTGATACTTGTGTTTACTTGTACATTAATAATCATTTTAACGCTGATAAGCCACATCGTTTTAATAATAAAGCTATTCCGAAGGGATATTTTACAAAATTGTTTCATACTGTATATGGGGAAATTATAATGATGTATTGTTTTTTTTATAGGATCGTTTTGAATCCCCGAGAGGGTACCGCCCACACTTTGATAACGAACCGATCTGCATCGTTGTCGTTGCTGTTATCATAGACCTGTTGTATCTTTTTCAACTCACGCACTGTTTTGATCTTATAATATCACGTCTCATTTTATTGTCCTCTTTACACAACAAAGAACTTTCACAGTATGATAGTCAATTTTAGCTTGATATCCTAGCAGACTTAAAATCGACTTGCCTTAAGTTGTCGAAGTTGAGTTTGAGCTTCGTGATAGAGAGTCCAAGCTCCCGAAAACTGTGATCAGCGAAATCGGGTAGCTCCGAATTCGATATATCGAGACCGATTTTGGTCTCGGGACTGAACTTGTTGGTGAGGGCCTTCGCAATATCCTCATAGGTGCTGATACGTTGACAGATGACAAGGATAGCACCGGTACCAATATCCTCACGTCTGCATGTACATGGTGAAATTTCTCTTCTCATAGCGCAGTGAAGACTAGCTCCGGCACCAAGGTGGCCGGCAAATGCGCAAAGCAGGGCAGCGGCGATCACGAGCGCGGACATCGTGTGAGCCGTTCGGGCCGAGTCGCGCTACTGCGGTTTGCCGATGCGCGCGCGCTGTCCGCTTTAACACTTACACGCACCCGCGCCCACCGCTCGCCGCAACCACGCACCCTGTCTCATCTGTGCATGCCTTACCTTTTGAAAACAACATATCATATCCCTATTAATGTATTATAATATAAGTATGTAATCATAAAAATTGCATTCCGTCATGTACAAATGACCTTAAATTATTAAATCTTAACAACATAGAATAGGATACATAATACGGCTGCTAACTACAGTCAAGTTAAATCCTTCACTTAACTACATAAACAGATGTTTTTATGGAACATTATTTTTTATAATAAGAACCAATCAACCTTTAAATAATTTTATTAGAGGTAACAAACATGACGCTGAAGTTTTTGCGTCGTGAATAATAGAGACTTTAAAAGAAAGATCCAAAGCGCACTTCCGATAACTAACTAAAATAACGTTTTGCACCTTCTAAGTAAATTGATAACTAAGGAAGAGCATGTAATTTGTATATTTATATGAGAAGAATATAAAAACGTTATTACTAATTTCGTAAAAGTGTCCTTTATAAATGTATGTAAGAGTAGATTGCTATGAAGATTAATTGAAATACATTTACAAATGAAACTTAATTTGCACTTAAATGTGATACATTTAAAATAAAATAGATTTTATAAACGCCTTATCAAGTATTCAAGCAATAACTTACCAACTATGAAACAAAACGTCAATTATATTTTGGCTTACAGTTGTTTGTAAGTATCTTTTAAAATTTAGATTGGATAGGGTTGATTTGACTTGATAGGGTTGATTGGACTGGATAGGGTTGAATCAAGTCATAGGTGGTGAAAAAGCTATCACTGTGTCAGCTTATTCACGCTTTTTTTGAACACTCACAAATTATACTCGTAACTTGAAGAAAACACATACGTCAAACTGTCCCTTATGTGCACACGAGAAAGGAGAAAGCGTGTCGCGTTGTCAAGATGAGAGGAAGACCTTCATCGAAAGGATGGAGACCTACCTACATTTGCGTCTGCATTTTATGCAGCAATTGAATCGTGCCATTCCTGTACAGACTCTCCAGAATGTATTCTGTAGAATTGAGAGAGGCTTGCGAGTTTTCACCTGTGCTCTGGGCTAACTAGATTAGATTTAACTAAGTCATGGTCATCAATAAACCTTTTTGTACATCTCTCCACGAAACCCAACTGAGTGAAGTGATATTTGACATCACCTGCCCAGATGTAATAGCCGTATTACACATACGACGGAATCAGTGCTTCGTATAACAAAGAAACTGCCCTATCGTGAAGTACTGCCACTCGTATTGAACTACTTATGTCAAGGTTTAAAGTTACCTCAAAACTTAAATTCTAAAGACGGTGAAAGTATTATTATTCCGAAAAATTTACATTTCTTCATTCGGAGACTGGCTGAAGTGTGAAATAAACACGCTCTGAAATTGCCTCTCTTTCTAACTCTTACGGATTCCGACAGACGCGTAGAGCTGAATTCATAAGACTACACACAAGAGAGAGTCCTAGCGAGAATCCTCATTTCTCACGATAAGATTTATTACGATCCAATGAGATTTTTGAGGGTTTTGGCTTTAAGAGCTCTTTTCAAGAGAAAAGATAGGAGATCTTAAAGTCATAAATTGAAGAAGACTTCAACTGTTTTTGTATCTGTTGATAGTACGATATAAGCACATACGTCAAATATCAAGCTTTTGAAATGCTTGGAGTAAGATCGGCGTGTTCTTACTCTCATGTTGCAAGGCGAACACTTCAATACTAATTTCCTCAACACCCCATTACATATTACAACTTAATAATGAATACAGAAAATATGTAACATGGCACAAAACCGAATATACATATAAAGAATATATGTACATATAAATACATGAACATGCTTTTTTATAAAGCGAAAAGAAAATTATTTTAAATAAAGCGTCTATTAAAAAAAAAATCTACAGTAAATTGTTTCAAAAAAGTATCTAAAATGAAAATGAGAATATTATAATTTAAAATGTGGAATTTAAATGGATAACTCACTTTTATAGATCCTCATTTATAAAACCCTCGTTTTGATAGCATAGTCGCAAAGGAACGTTAGAACTTTTACAAATGTATCTTTTTTATGTACAAATGTATATTGTCTAATTTGGTGTAATTGGTATTAAAAATCAATTTAAATTTAAAATAAGAACTAAGGTAAACACAAATTAGTAGGCGCCTACAGTTACATATTCATAAAACTTTTAAATACATATTTGCTTAAATTACTCAAATGGTTGGAAAATCTTATATTTGTATAAATATCAAATCGTAAAGCAGAGATCATATAATTTAACTAAAATGAAAGAGCTCAAATACAGTTCTGAAATTTAATACAATAAGTGGTTACTTAGTTTTAGTTGTGTTGAAAATGAATATTAAAATTTCATAAAAGATTTTTATATTATAAATACAAATTTTTCGAAACTTTTTATTTAATAAAATATCCATATTTATTTATAAAACAATAAAATTAGAATAACTCTTATGACACTTTTGGAAATTCATAGGTATATCTACGGCGAAACTTAAGAATTATTAATATAACGTTATTAGGTTCAAATTTTGAATGTATACTACTCTTAAGTTTCTTAAATTAATTACCACTTTATCTTAAAATATGTATACTTCCCTATAAAAACATATACCTCGAATAATAGAATTGACGCTTTCATATTGTTACAAATAATTTAGGCAGTACTTCCACTTAGATGTTGAATGCTCCACAACTCGTAAAAGAATCCCCAGTCTAACACTTGCATCCTATTTATTATATTCAGAGGTAACATATTTAGGTGAGGGTTAGTCATAATATCATACAGAAGGAGCTAGTTCCCTTCATAAGAGACTCAACATTATTTAAAACATGCTAAGGCTCTAATTATAAAATGTAAAACCAATTGTTAAGTATTTGGACATTTAAATTACTGTACAGAAATATGATTAACATTAATTTACACTATTATAACGAATATACAGATGGCGCTAGTTGAATATCATAAGAATTGAGAATAAATATTAGAAAAAAATAACGTTAAGCTTAGAATTGTGAAGTAGACAACAATTTAAATCATAATAAATAATTATTACTAACAATATACATCTATACTTTAATAACTTCTTAGTGTTTTTTTAAATAACTTTTTCTCATCTTTACTTTTTTTCTATACCCATACAAAATCTCAGGATGATGGGATTTGCTAAAAAAACCGTTAGACAGCTACAAAGTCACTTTCGCCTTTAAAATTCAGAGTAAGATTAAAGTATTTTCTCATAGACATGTCAGCATTGCTTTATAGATCCTTTCATTATGAACTTTATTCCGTTGAACATTAAAAATATGATTTTGTGAATTATCAGTGAGATAATTATGTTTAAAGATCTATTGTTTGCGAAATTTACTCCCGAATTTTAGATATGTTGACTTCTGTTGTTCTATATCATTGTATTTAATTAGTGTATACAATTATATTATGTATTATAATGTTCATTGACACTAAATTCACACAAAACATTTCAAAAGAATCTCACGTTTAAAGCTTGTAACATTGTATTGTCTTTTATAACAAACACTACAAACGAATTTATACGGTCTCCTTGCTATTTATTCGTTTTAAAAAGGCCTTTTTTATTAAAGGTCGTTAACTTTATTAATATGAAATAATAATTCACAAACTTTCCTGAAATTTAAACAAAGATATAAATTGGTTAAATCCTGAAATTGTACACATGAATAAATTCAAAACGTAATATTCAAATTGTACAAGTTTCATCAATTATAATTACATAGGTACAAGAGATTTTGATGATGTTATTGGAGAATTTCAATCAAACTAGAATACATCCAATATTATATTTTCATTAGAAGTGAATTTAGTGTAGCGTATTTAATTTCCCTATAATTTCAATCAATCCTTATTTATGTAAATAAAATTAAATATACTGAACGGAACATTAATAACAATTTTAAAGTATTGAATTAATAATAATTTTAAAGTATTAAACTTTTTCATACCAAGTCACATATTTTCATTTTTTATTAATTATTATTAAGTTACTGGAGAATAATAAATATATAATAACAATTAAAATTCATTATTTGATGATCGGGTTGCTTATCTCATTATATTTCAGAGCACCAGAAAAGTAGAGCTCTTAAAAATTTTATACAAAATTATGAAATATAAATTATAATGCAACTCACATATTCATATTGAATAAGCTTTTATTATGAGAACCTCAGCATTCACGGAGACTTTTAGCTGAACAAAATGACAATTTTTATACAAGTATTTAGGAATAAATAAAGCCTCTCCCACTTCATGGTGGTCACAGAATCTGTACCATTTTATTTATGAGGGTGTTTCTTTTTTTTCCATTTTCACAGCGTTATCAATTTAAATTAAAATACATTTTCGTATTTAGCTCTCTATCAGGTTACGATTACTTAAAAAGTATGAATGAAACCAAAAATACCCATATATTTTTAACTTTTTTTAATTTAAAATTACTTAATAGACCTAACAAAGATTTTTTATTGAACCATATATTAATACAGATCTTCCAACTTCTGACATCGATCCGTAAGAGTAACAACCTTTGATATAACCTGACATCTTTTGTATATATATACTTCTCTCACTGAAATGGATGCAACGCCCGATCGATGGTTGCCATGGTTACATGCAATTAATTTTCCGAGAAATCCGTTCATAATAAATTTAATATTCTACTGAAGTTGTGTCTCAGTCCATTAGCGATTGAAAACTAAAACATTATGTATACAAATTATTTACTCGTGCAGCAGCTTACCTATTTACTAGAATTTCAATTAATAGCTGTTCAAATTGTAATGAACCAAAATGTATTCGATTCGAGTAAACTATCAGACTAAATGAAATAGGAATAGATTGAATTCAA